CTACTAACATAGAACATGTGAAGTTACTATTAGAAACACACTACTACATAGAACATGTGAAGTTACTATTAGAAACACACTACTAACATAGAACATGTGAAGTTACTATTAGAAACACACTAATAACATAGAACATGTGAAGTTACTATTAGAAACACACTACTACATAGAACATGTGAAGTTACTATTAGAAACACACTACTACATAGAACATGTGAAGTTACTATTAGAAACACACTACTACATAGAACATGTGAAGTTACTATTAGAAACACACTACTAACATAGAACATGTGAAGTTACTATCAGAAACACACTACTAACATAGAACATGTGAAGTTACTATTAGAAACACACTAATAACATAGAACATGTGAAGTTACTATTAGAAACACACTACTACATAGAACATGTGAAGTTACTATTAGAAACACACTACTACATAGAACATGTGAAGTTACTATTAGAAACACACTAATAACATAGAACATGTGAAGTTACTATTAGAAACACACTAATAACATAGAACATGTGAAGTTACTATTAGAAACACACTACTACATAGAACATGTGAAGTTACTATTAGAAACACACTAATAACATAGAACATGTGAAGTTACTATTAGAAACACACTAATAACATAGAACATGTGAAGTTACTATTAGAAACACACTACTACATAGAGACATGTGAGTTACTATTAGAAACACACTACTAACATAGAACATGTGAAGTTACTATCAGAAACACACTACTAACATAGAACATGTGAAGTTACTATTAGAAACACACTAATAACATAGAACATGTGAAGTTACTATTAGAAACACACTACTACATAGAACATGTGAAGTTACTATTAGAAACACACTACTAACATAGAACATGTGAAGTTACTATTAGAAACACACTACTAACATAGAACATGTGAAGTTACTATTAGAAACACACTACTACATAGAACATGTGAAGTTACTATTAGAAACACACTACTAACATAGAACATGTGAAGTTACTATTAGAAACACACTAATAACATAGAACATGTGAAGTTACTATCAGAAACACACTACTAACATAGAACATGTGAAGTTACTATTAGAAACACACTACTAACATAGAACATGTGAAGTTACTATTAGAAACACACTACTAACATAGAACATGTGAAGTTACTATTAGAAACACACTACTACATAGAACATGTGAAGTTACTATTAGAAACACACTACTAACATAGAACATGTGAAGTTACTATTAGAAACACACTACTAACATAGAACATGTGAAGTTACTATTAGAAACACACTACTACATAGAACATGTGAAGTTACTATTAGAAACACACTACTAACATAGAACATGTGAAGTTACTATTAGAAACACACTAATAACATAGAACATGTGAAGTTACTATCAGAAACACACTACTAACATAGAACATGTGAAGTTACTATTAGAAACACACTACTAACATAGAACATGTGAAGTTACTATTAGAAACACACTACTACATAGAACATGTGAAGTTACTATCAGAAACACACTACTAACATAGAACATGTGAAGTTACTATCAGAAACACACTACTAACATAGAACATGTGAAGTTACTATTAGAAACACACTACTAACATAGAACATGTGAAGTTACTATTAGAAACACACTACTAACATAGAACATGTGAAGTTACTATTAGAAACACACTACTACATAGAACATGTGAAGTTACTATTAGAAACACACTAATAACATAGAACATATAAAGTTATTATGAAAAACACCAATAACATAGTACATATTTAGCTACCTATTACAAACATACCCATAACGTAGACCATCTGAAGATCCTGTCATCAACTCATTATTAACATATTACTCGGCCAATGGACAACATTTCAAAGAACTATTCCTTTTGCTTTAGAAAATGTAATGGACTGACTGACTGACTCAGTTTGGTTTTACGCCGCTTTTAGCAATATTCCAGCAACATCACGGCGGGTAACACCAGAAATGGGCTTCACACATTGTACCCTTGTGGGGATTCGAACCCGGGTCTTCGGCATGACGAGCCAACACTTTAACCACTAGGCTACCCCACCGCCCCAAAATGTAATGGAACATCCTGATAATCATAAAAGAGATTTCCACCCTCAGAACATCTCAACAACCATTGGAGAATTTTCAAGTTCAATTATTGAATATATAATAGTTGTGGAGACGTTGTCATGGAATGACTTCCTAGTCAAACTACAGCTTAATCACTGAAGTGCTGAAGGTTCAGAACAGTATGAACAGTTAACTGTACTCGCACACAAGTTTGATTGTGTGATGTATAATCAACTATATATTTCTTTCCATACTTTCCAATTTTCAAGGACAAATCTAATAAAAGAAACTGATTAACAAAATTTATCACGGAATGAAATCATTTCATCTTATTTTTAACAAGTGATAATGATATTTTGTGACATGATTCATTCATGATCTAACCGGATGTAGGGATGATGATCAGATGTCATCACAGGAAGTGTAGACTCTGGTAATGCACAAGAAAATACATGGAAGAATCATCATTCCATTTGTCCTGTTCAAGGTGTACAAGCTTTTCTTATGAAATGTGCGATGATTATATACAGATAAAGCAACACATATGATCATGGTTTCAAATTCTTAGAAATTTATTAATGGATTGTACAGTATTTTCATTGTAAAAATTCATATGCCTTCTTTGTCAGTTGTTATTGAAAAACTGAGACAAATATAGATAAAGGCAGATAGAGATCATTGTTACTGTTGGTATTGTATGTGTAAGAAAAACAATAGTGATATATAGTTTGATTGAACAGTATATTGTTTTAAAGAAATATCATGTGTCATTAACACCTTTCTCAATGATCTAGCATGTACAATTTGCAGTCCTTAAGCTAACACACTCAAAATTACTTCTTATGTATCACTTGCTTGACAACGACATTAGAATCTATGTCGAAACGTCGTCTATACAGAATAAAGAAGTTGTATATCCATAAAAATAGTCCTCATCCTTCATCTACCCAACTTCTAGAATGCCAATCAAAGAAGAATTTCAAGAAGAATTCTACTATCAAATCATGCAAGTATACAAGACTATTTACTGCAGTATTCAGAGAAGGCTCCATTGCATCCTGACATCATTTCAAATCACACATCTTTAGGTCATTTCTTGAAGGTGAAGGTCTTTTCATCTGGTTGGCACCAAATCTGCCCCCTAAAGGCTAATATACATAATTAATGAGGCACAAGATCCCACGTTTCAACTAATTGAGCTGCCCACATGGGAAGGCCAATCTGAAATTGTAATTGCAAGAAAAAATACAATCTTTCAAACTCGGGTCAAATTATCAGAAAGTAATATCAACAAGAATTTACTCAGGTCTCTTGTGTGCTAATGATCAAGGGTGAAGTAGAATGACCAAATGTAATGTCTGTTCAATGATGAAGAATTGAACATGAATGTAGTTCAAACTCAATAATGTCTCAACTGTTTGTTTACGGGTTATTGTAAATATGTGACACATTTGACAGGTCGGATGAGGTATCTGTATTGTGTTCCCCTTGGATGACACGAAAACTGATACAACTGCAGCACAACTATTTCTACTTATGTGGATTGGTTGGATATTTGTGTATCCATACATATGATAATCCATTTCATTTAACTCACAGAAAAGTAGTAGTTATTCTTGTTTTCTTTTTATGAAATGGATGTAAGGTACAAATTGCTGTTATGGAGATCTGTCAAATATACCTTGGTCTCTCATTATGGAGCCATTTCTTTGTTGAAATCTTCAGAATATGTTTATGTTCCTGGCATTAACAGTGAAGATTTGCATTTTAGAAAACATTAGCATTAAGGAGTTTTTTAACTTATGTAATTTCTTCATAAGTCCCAATTGCTCTGCTATTCAAGTTTACATTTGCTGCTTGTCTATGATTTCACTCAGGGGAGATGTTCAAATGATTTTGACAAAATTCAATTTTACTTCACTTATTCTTTTTGTAATAAAAAAAGTTGTAGAAAGCAAAGTCATTCCTGTATGGATGTGAATTTGAGTTTATTTTATCCATCTCTACTATTAAGGGGTATATGTTACAGACATTGGTGGTTAGAATATCACTCTGGGAAGAATGATATGGTGGTATCTTTGGAAAGAAGGGCATGACTTGACTATAATGTTTACAGTACCTCCTACAGACTGCGATATACATATCATCAAGTTGTGTCAGTGGTGACCTGTTGGTGAGGTGGTTGCTTGTTACAGTTAAGTTCTGAGTTCAATCCCACCATGACTATGAACATTAACGAAAGGACATAAACCAAACTTAATATTGTAAGGGTGATGCTTATTGAACTTCTATTACATATGTGTTGTGGTGTCAAGAGTCTTTACTCATTTTGACTTTACTATCCTTCCAACTATATATTGTTATCTGTGACCTTTATCAGATTGCAGTTTCAAGGTAGACAGATGTGTTTTGTATAGAACTTGTTTCTGTGGTCATTCTTGTTATTTGAGGATTTCAAAACTCATGTTTAGAATAATGCATTTCTTCAAACAAGTGTATTAATCAAGGAATATTTCTTCATATTAGTTGTAAGAGGATGTGAGCATCTTCATCTGAGCCATATTTGCTGCTGAATGTTCAACGTCTCATCATTTGTGATGCAGCTGTAATAAGTTGTGACAAGATTTATGAAAGTATATCAGTCAACATTCTTCAAAATCTGAGGAAAATGTTTTGTTGAAGTCACACCTTCAAGTGTTGTATTGCTACACCTTCAGGTGTTGTATTGCTACAAAAGGCACAACATGTAAACACAGTGAAGTCAGCATGAATGCTGAAACAGAACATTAAACAAAGCTGATATGGATGCTGACATATCTGTTTCAGAATACCTTATGATCGTAGAGTATATTTTAGCGTTGGTTTTCATGTATGATGTTGTATTTTGAAGGTACCATGTGGGACACAGGCTACATGGGTAAGTCAAATGTGCTACTTTTCATTTCGGTTGTTCACTGGTTTTAATGCTTTCTTCACCATCCTTGGATAAACCTATACATAAACAGACAAATATCACTACTAACATATGAGGCGACAAATTGGTGATACTATGCAAGAGGCTTCTTTCAACATAAAATGTCACTGACTTACAACAATTAAATGATGCATTATTTCTAATGAATTTCTGATCATTCTGTCTTTGCTTACATTTCTCTAAGACAAAATCTTTACAGCTTATATGCTTTTTATTTTATCTGAGCATAAATTACACTTTAATACCCTTTTCGTATAAAATATTTTCTTTCAAATACAAAGTATTTTGATAAAAGTAAAATTTCTTCAAACGTGAAGCATTAAAAATCTTTCACGCAATATTTATGAAAATCAAAAGCATTTGGCATTTGCAGAGCTCATATTTCTGAAAGCACACATGCTTTTATAGACTGCTTAATGCAAAATCTGTTTCTTTGTAGATTTTTTTATCAAGTTTCTTTTATGAGTTGACAATGGAAATTTTGAATATATTTCATACATTCACTTGCAATTTTTTGAAGTCACCATCTTCATAACTGTATGGATTTGATTTTTCCTTCTGTCAGTGTTTTTTGCAACCCAACCAAAATATGTTTTTTAACAGATCTAAGAAATTGTTTTGGCATGGTCCTTTAATGGTTTTCTGCTATTGACCCTTTGTAGGAAACTTTGATGTTTCTTGATCATTTTCAAATTTTCCTAATTTCTGTTTTAGTGGTAAAAGTAATTCCAAAGATTGTTTCATTTAAAATACCCCATTAGCTATTAATATAGGTTCTTTTTTGTAGACTAGTTGCCCAAAAGATGAATGTAATGACTTCAGTGCTAATTCTCCATCTTGATAAGTGAATACTTAAACTATGGTATTCTTTCATGTCGATGGCCATCAAAGCCAAAGTAATGCAATATCAAATTATAGAGAATTAGCTCATACAACCTAATTATGCTTATGTTAATATGCATGTTTCTTACCTGCTTTGTGGTCTGGTTTAATTAAAAGAACTGCAGTAACATTAAAAACAGTTCCAGTATGTAGTCTTCTCTAATTTAGATATTATTTATCTATTAGGCTGTTATCATGTTCAACAGTATGACAAAATTAGTAAATTAATAAATGTACATGTCATTAAGAATAACCCAGAACATTGAGAATGGTTTTATAAAATGTTTCATAAAATGAAACAGTATCATTTAGAAGCTTCTTTGGGTTGTAAATAAAATAAAGTTTGTCCCAGTGTTTGAAAGAAGTTAAACATATTTGAAAACTTCAATGTTGCATGCTTTGTGTTGGGTGGTTTAAGGTGTGGTATCAAGGTATCAAGAGAATGTTGTCAGTGTATTTTTACAACTGAATTTGTCTTCACACATCTTCATTGCTGTGTTAAATTGTTATCAACTTCTTGTTGCTGTCAGTATCACAAAGTGCATTGTAAAATATATTGTTTGTGTGGTACCAGTTCAATGATATCATTGTCCTTGTCTATGTAAGTCTCCTTAAGTGCATTGTAAAGTCATGGATTTTCTGCTATTACTGTTAATGTATGAAGAAAGATTACACCATGGGTATGATTTCATTAGGCCAGCTGGCCAATATATCTTTTGAAGCAAACAGTAAATATAATGATTGACCAAATGTCCATCTTGAAGCTTCAGTAAATACATTAATCACATGTTCTTCATGAAGCAACAGTAAATATTATAACTAAATATTCTCACATCAAGTGTGTTACATAAATGTGACTATATTTTGACAGCTATTATTTTGGGGGCGATATGATTCATTAACAACTCTAAATTAATATTTACTGAGGATGACCACATCCTTGCATGCATGGTGGTGAATATGGATAGTGGTTATGGTTGGTAGTTTTTGGTATATAGAACATGTGTAGAACAATTTCAGGATTTTGTCTGATGTTACTGTGTTATATATGTCGTCTCATTATGAATCCAAGGTGTGGTAGCACTGTCTGCACATTTTTCTATGCAATACGTGTATTTAGTGTTTTACAGTTTTTAGTGGATTGTAGATATTCCATATTTCAAGAAGAACAGTATTATTGGTAAATGTCAATATTTACCAATAATACCAGCTTCTGACAAGAGATTATTGTCAATATTTACCAATAATACCAGCTTGTGGCAAGGGATTATTGTCAATATTTACTAATAATACCAGCTTGTGGCAAGGGATTATTGTCAATATTTACTAATAATACCAACATGTGACAAGGGATTATTGTCAGTATTCACCAATAATACCAGCTTCTGACAAGGGATTATTGTCAGTATTTACTAATAATACCAACTTGTGACAAGGGATTATTGTCAATATTTACCAATAATACCAGTGTCTGACAAGGGATTATTGTCAATATTCACCAATAATACCAGCTTGTGACATGGGATTATTGTCAATATTTACTAATAATACCAACTTGTGACAAGGGATTATTGTAATACCAACTTGTGACAAAGGATTATTGTCAATATTTACCAATAATACCAACTTGTGACAAGGTATAACTGTCAATAGATCCTATATATTTGAGTTAATAAAGGGCCTGGAAATGTGAAACTGTTGAACCAGTATTGGTCTTCAGCAGAAAGGATATGACGTAATGTTAATGAGTTGGCAGACATTTCCTGACAAATAGAATGTCAAAATGTTTTACACTGTTCATGGTAAGGACCTTGATTCTTATAGTTTCCCATTATTTAACAGTCAAAAAATGAATCAGTCATCCTTTGAATAACTTCATTTAGATGATGAATACTTGTCATTAGGTACCTTTTTGTCTTCTATTTCATTCCCTCTGGCAAATAATGCATCATGTGTTTCTGTACTGAAATTAACCCATACTGCACCTGCCTTTGAGGTCATGGTTTTGCCTGATGTATCATAAATATCTAACAGATCAAATTAAAAGAAATTTGAGCAGTTTGTATACTTGACTTAAACAGATTGGAAGATGATTCTGGTAAAATGTTTTTAAGTAGAAAAAGTCAAAATGAGTCAAACATCTAAAAAATTATGAAATATCAATAGGTCAATTTGAATATAATATATTTCTAACACACAAGAATGTGGTATTTGTGTGAATATTTGCTTTGGTAATGGACAATGCAGTTCATTTTCTTACTTAATGTTTTGAGTTAAACCATCATCATATTCAAAGTATTTGACGCATTTTGTTGTGATGATATTTGTTAATGTATTCATAAGGAAAATATAGTGTATCAGTGTGTTAGTTGTTATGAGGAATAAATATGATAAATTTGACTTCAATTCGTAAAGCTCACTTTGTTTTGATATGCATCATAACAAATATATTGTCTTCACCTTATAAAATAATAGTTCAGCTTGACATCAAACAGCTTTGTTCTATAATACTGCAAATTTTTATTTCTTTATTTTATACAATGGAATAGAAATATGTCAATATATTCCATGGATAAAATGGCTCTTTGATCAAGCCTCAGTTCGGATTGCTGGATGACTTGAGATGGTTTTTGTGCACATCACAAGCAAGATTTTCTTCAGCAGATACAAGCATGGAATCTGTGTGGTATATCCCTGGTGGTTCGCCTGTGTAGATAATCAGGGAACGTGGATTTGTGCATCCATGCAACTGCACAGATGTACTGCGTTTAATTGAATGTGCAATCTTTCGATGCCTGCAGATGTAGGTCACAAGATGAAAGCTTTCTCTTCTGACCTTTTACCTCAGTGGTGAATGGTTGGATGAACCTACCTTTTATCCTTCATTCTGCGGAGGCAAATATTTATAAACATTTTTTGCAAAGAAAGTTGAGGTGCTGATTGACTAGCTGTCTATATAGGCACAGCTTTGAAACTTAGAAGTAGATACACCCTTGTTTTAGGTAGTCATATAGCTTGATCTGTCCATGACTAATTCTTCAATATTTCCACATTTCTTCATAGAATGAATGTAACTGAGTACCTAATGTTTAACTATTCCATGACTTAACAGGAATAATTCAGAATTACATTTTTCCTGATCAGGAAAATGTCATGTTTTTCATTTTTTTCTTCGCACTGACAATATATATTTCACAGAAGTAATGTTTGTTTAAATAAGGAAGAAATGAAAAATGAGACTATTATTAAAAACCAGAACAAACATCCTGGATTATCTAACATGTCTTTTTCACTGAACATGCAAATTGGATTACAAATATTGTGTTTTTCAGTGATATCTTAGAGTTCTTCATTTTTGTTCATTTTGTTTATTTCTACTGGACACAAGTATCATATGGGTGAAACAATGATCCATGATTTTTTAAAGAAATTGTCTATTTTATATAATTTCAGATTACTACAAGTGGAAAACAAGCAACCATGCCCCTACGGACCACAGTAAGATGAATATTTTATTCATTTGCCTTGCTATTCTGTAAACATGCTGTTTTTTGACACACATACACATTGTGCAAGGAATACTAACTGGAAAACAAGTCATGATGCATCATTGTCAGAGAAAATGTTATGAAATGAAAGATCCAGTGTCCTAGTCTGTACTAAAAAAATGAGCTGTCACTGATCCCAGAGGAGGAATATGGTATCTTCAGATAGTCCATCTCTATGGAGTCCATCTTCCAAAGTGGACATGTCCTGTGGAGAATCTGGAACAATGACTACAAACATAATTAGAGATATCTGTCTTAAACAAATTGCTTTCTCTTGAGTATGATAAATAAATTATGAGGATTTTATCCAGTCTTTTTCTTAATGTGGATCTGGGAGGGAATTTGGTATTTCTTAAAATTAACAGTGACAAGTCAAGGCAGTTCATGATGAATGGCCATGGTGGTTATAAAACATGGGTTGATAATATCTCACGACATCTACAAGCCACCGAATTGAAATTATTTGTTTTTCAATATCATCATCATCATCAAATCCCATCATTTTGGGATTGTATTTATCTGTTGGCAGGTAACAACATGTTGGCCCCTTGTTACCTTGTTTGATCTGAATCAGCAACATGTAATAGCAGGGTGTAAATAATTGTGTTTGGAGTATACAAACTAATGATTGATGTCATGAACACCTTTCATTGATTGATGATGACTCACAATGTGCTGAGAGAACAATCTGACAACTAAATCAGTTTTAGTCAGCTCTGACAAGTATAGACTTCTGGCCAGTGACTGTCAGAAGGAACATCTGAAAATTACAGAAAATCACACACAAATTGACACACTTCATTGTATCCCAATTTCATAGATTAATGCTCATGCTGTTGATCTCTGGATTATCTGTTCCAGACTGGATTATTTACAGACTGCTGCCATATAGCTGGAATATTGCTGAGTATGGTGTAAAACTAAACTTACTCACTGCTATGTTTGAGTTAAATATCATTTTGGGAGATGCATTTTCCTGCGTTTTCTCAAATTTGAATAAAAACTCTAACTTAAGTCAAAACTCAGACTTAAACTTGTTTGAGAAATTGGGGACATGTTTGTAGTGTAGTTGATGAGTTGATGGTTGACTCAAGGTTCTATAGATGTTGCATGTTGCTTCTACATGATATGGTCAGTCTCAAGTGCTAATATACTGATTTGGTATCAGATGGGTGAAAATGACAATATCTAGATCCTTCCATCAACATGTCTTGTTGATTTAGACTGATGACGTCAAAACAGTATGATTGGGCAAAAATAGGTTAAAAGAAAATTAAAAACATTTTGTCGCTAAACACATTACCATTGGCCATATTGAATTTCAGATAAGCCTTGTATCAGAAAGAGACCTTAGCACTAGTATTGCCACTTTCTTCTGCCACCTTATACCCTGTCTTGAAGCAGAATTTATTTAGTTTCTGTTTTATGTAAAATGAATCTTCAGTTTATTTCTGAAAATATCTGGTTAAAACCTCTGGTTGGAAAGAGAATGAAAAAACACCCAGATTTCCATGTGGACATTTTTCACGAAAATATGAAGTTAAAATTGTTCCTGTCTCTGGATAATTATTACACAAGTACATGATAATTATACTGATATTGACTTATTAACAAGCAGCAAGTAATCAGCTCTAATTATAATTCCTACAGAGTCCCTTACTGAATGTTTGTTTAACTAAAATAGCAGCAATTTAGAATAACGAGTTAAAGATATTAGGGCAATGAATATAATCTTCAATCTTCCCTCCAAAGCATATAAAGTTCACATGTTAAATACTTTGATGATGTTTGGGCTCATGGTGCAGCTGAACACATGGGTAAGCATAAAGAAAATGTATTAAAGAATTCATGAATCAAAATTAATGTATGGAATTAAAAAGTTCAAGGTTATGGGTGAATTTGCAAGGAGAGAGAGCTCTTCTTAATCTTGTGAACTTGGGCTGGTGCATACATCACATGGATGTGGGGAAGGATCTGTGGCATGTACTGACGCCAGGCTCATCAGCGAAAGGAAGCCACATTTCACACTTGGTCTTTTAGTACAACTGTACACGTACAACTCTACACACAGAGCACTGATTTGAAGTTCAACTAGATGTTTTCTGTTTAACAATGCTGTTGGTCATTTACTGTTGTATAACAGTGGTTGGTAATTAATTAAATCTTTACCAGACAACCAGTGATTATTATGCGAAACATGTCATCAGATGGTGGTCTGTCTTACAGTCCTGAACCATATCATCTTTCCTTCTGCCTGCTCTTTCTGCAATGAGAAGCCCTAAATGAAGCAATTCTAGATTTTACAATCTCACGAGTACTCCTTTCCAGGATAAATGGAACTATTTGTTTCTATCATTTATATATATTTTTAGACAGTTTGTGGATTTGATGACAGTCTACCATGTCACTAAGTCAGGGAGCAGTGGGGTAGCCCAGTGGTTAAAGCGTTCACTCATCAAGCCGAAAAGACCCGGGTTTTATTCCCCACATGGGTACAATGTGTTCAGCCTATTTCTGGTTTCCACCGCTGTGATATTGCTGGAATATTGCTAAAAGTGGCATAAAACTAAACTTGCTCGTCACTCACTGAGTCAGACCAGCCAATCCCTTTGATCACATTTTATGACTTGGGTATAGGTTACTTGAAATATATTCTAACTGCTGATTTGACAACACTATTTGATGAGCTGCCCCTCAAAACAGATTATGGTAGCTTGATGCCATAATAATGCAAATGATGACAAAAGTAAAGTCACATCTATTTTCTATCCTTTTGAAAGTGTTGCTCATTTCTAATCATCTTGTCAAATTGAATTAAAAATGTCAACACTGTCAACCATTTACTACAATTTCATACAGGAATAATAATGTTGTAATAATCAGATAAGGTTTATTCTTCTTTTTATTGGTGTGAGAATTGGAACATAGGTAATTAAAATTTCCTTTCAAATTTCAAATTGATAAGAATAAAATAAGTAATTTAAATATGAGAGATGAGTGTTATTAGGATTAAATTTCATCAGAATAGTGAGTTTCTTCAGAGAAATACAGATTTGTCTGTAAATGGGAACATTGCTTCTTTATTGTTGAACAGAAATTGCATTAAACCTGAAGTTAACAGATCTGAATGAGTAAAGTCTTGTCTTGTCCAATATTGTTCGATGAATAAGCTGTGATCCATACCTGCCTTGAAGCTGTTGCATGGCCACAGTCTCCCGCTACACATTATACATCTGTTACAAAACAAACGGTGTTTTTTGATGTCACAGCTTTTGAACAATGCTTCAACCCGATTGTATGCTGACATAATCATGCATCACTGAAATTGATCATATATTTAAATCTTGATCTGAAGATTTCAAAATTGTGTCCTTTGCCAATCCTTCTGGTTCGATATTGGTTTGGGCACGGAAGTGAATAATGTCTGATTGCAATCTCAATAGTTAATATGATGACTGTTATGATCATTGAAATACTTCATTAAACTAAATATACTTCTGGGCCTAGATTTTCGAAGCTCTCTTAGCGCTTTGAAAATCTAGACCCTGGTTTGCATTTGGTATAAGAATTTTGTTGGATCATTTTACTTGCTTGTTAAATACAGTGAAAATAATGCGAATCTTAAAAACTCTTAAAGTCAACTCGCGAACTCAAAATTTCCATGCATTTTTCATGTAAACCCAGAATGGCCATACTCATGTTTATGATGATAGGAGAAAAGGATGATGGTGACTGTTGTACAGGGAATTGATGTCCAGGACCTGACAAAAACTCAGACTTGAATACATGCCCCAGAACCTGACCCAGGACCCAGACTTGTGTACCCGTTTTCAATCGTATTATCCACACGAGCGACATTTTGTCTTTTCACCTTTGTGTCATCAAAGTGAAAATGAACCCACACACTGTACCATTTCTCATCCATGTCTGCATCACGTGTTCATGATGTGGCTCAGTTTAAAGCGTCAGCTATAACATAATTGTTTTCTGAAGATGATACTACTATTGGTCTCCTTACTTTGTAGATGTAAACCAGTATATTCACCTGTATGATGGTTATTATACCTTGCAGCTTCCTGTTGATGTAGGGATACAGGTGACCCAGTTGTGGTCGGGACATTTGTTCATGGGCCCCTGGTCCCTATCTGTGCCCACTCTACAGATCATGGGCCCCTGGTCCCTATCTGTGCCCACTCTACAGATCACGGGTCCCTGGTCCTTATCTGTGCCCACTCTACAGATCATGGGTCCCTGGTCCCTATCTGTGCCCACTCTACAGATCATTGGGCCCTGGTCCCTATCTGTGCCCACTCTACAGATCATTGGGCCCTGGTCCCTATCTGTGCCCACTCTACAGATCATTGGTCCCTGGTCCCTATCTGTGCCCACTCTACAGATCATTTGGCCCTGGTCCCTATCTGTGCCCACTCTACAGATCATGGGTCCCTGGTCCCTTTCCGTGCCCACTCTACAGATCATGGGCCCCTGGTCCCTATCTGTGCCCACTCTACAGATCATGGGTCCCTGGTCCCTATCTGTGCCCACTCTACAGATCATGGGTCCCTGGTCCCTATCTGTGCCCACTCTACAGATCATGGGTCCCTGGTCCCTATCTGTGCCCACTCTACAGATCATGGGTCCCTGGTCCCTATCTGTTCCCGCTCTACAGATCATGGAACCCCTGGTCCCTATCTGTGCCCACTCTACAGATCATGGGTCCCTGGTCCCTACCTGTGCCCACTCTACAGATCATGGGTCCCTGGTCCCTATCTGTGCCCACTCTACAGATCATGGGTCCCTGGTCCCTATCTGTGCCCACTCTACAGATCATTGGGCCCTGGTCCCTATCTGTCCCTACTCTACAGATCATGGGTCCCTGGTCCCTATCTGTTCCCACTCTACAGATCATGGAACCCCTGGTCCCTATCTGTGCCCACTCTACAGATCATG